CCGATGTAGAGGACAGAAGGACAGAAAGATCTTGGCCTAAGTGGGAGGACAGTCCTCCAGATTAAGGACAGTTGGGAGCTGAAGACCGGGCTGTGAACTACCACTGGGAGATGTCACCCCTGCGGGCTGAGAGTCGCCATGGAGCCGGGATGGGATGGAGCCGATATCTCAGTAGTTGGTGTGGGTTTGTTTTTTTAAATAAACAAGTTAAACCTGAGAAAACAATCGTTCCTTCCAAACAGATCTCTGCACAAGAATGCTGGACGTCCAGTCCAATGATTTCGGTAGTGAAAGTGAGCTTGGAGCGGGGACTCCTTTACAACACACACAGGGACCATGGGGAACAAAAGTAGCCCCCCTCCAGAAGGAAGGACAGTGTCGGTACCAATTCAGAGATGATTGGAGGATCTACATCCGAGTGATACACAAATAAGATACATTGGGGGGGGAATGTATCAATACTGGAGCAAACATAATCTGGAGCAGTTGCCCATGGCAACCAATCGGCATCTCTCTTCAGTTTGCTCAGGTAAGATTTGAAAATGAGACAGAGAATCTGATTGGCTGCAGTGCAAATCTGCTCCAGACTTTGTCTGCTCCAGTTTTGATAAATTCCCCCCATTGTTGTTAATAGTTAAGGTACTTGAATGTATTTTTAAGATTTAACTCCAGAGTTTAGTGTCACTTTTGAAGGAGCACTGGTGGCCAGGGGTGTCCCGAGGCCGGGTCTCTAGACCAGGTGACACCACGCCGTGTCGTCATCTCGCATTCGCGCCCATCTTTTTGACTCCTGCTGGCAGCCATCTTGCTGATGGACGCCAGCAGAGAGAGGAGGGGACGTTCAACCAGCGGGATAAGGTATGCCGCCGGGTCCCCTCCCCTCTCCTGACACTGTCGGGCTCTCGGTTCATGACCGAGTGCCCGACTTTTTAGAGGGGTGACACAAAATGACCGTCAGTCATTTTGGTGTCACCCGAGTGCGGGCCGCACCCCCCTTGTGACGAAACTGCTGGTGACCTGGAGATTTGTCTGCTTTTACACCTTCTGATCACACACTTTCTGTACTAGGGTGACAACACTCACTATACTGTATCTGTGAAAGAAAATGGTTGTTGTCACTCTAGAACTGGTCTCCTGAAAACCTCCCACACTCCTATTCATAACATAGGGGGTAGCTCACACAGAGAACAAGGAACAATGTAGCTGATGCCAGTCAACTTAGGCAGGGAGCACAGGAAATTCACGTCGCTGAATGTCTGGAGGGATCAATAAGTCATTTTTTTTTTCATTTACTAAACCTAAAAAACAAAATGTTGTAAATGGTAAAATTATGAGGCAAAAGGGGAGAAAATATGTTGAATTTCTTTATTTAGGGTTTACATACAGTTTAATACACATATGGTTATGGACCTGCAACGGGCTTTGAGCATGTGTTAATGGCATCAGTTTAAGGTGTTTCTAAGGTCACAAGGTCATTCAGAATTCAATGTTAGGGGCATTCGATCTGCATTTGACCTCTTTCTGACCTGCTTCTAGCATGGTGTGCATTCTTATAGACTTGTCTGGACATATAAAGTCTTAGGCCCCATTCACACTGAGCGATTAATCGCAGCGATATCGGTCATATTTCAACGCGATATCGCTCTATGTAGCTTCTCCAATCCATTTCAATGGAGCTGTTCACATCTCGTCGCTCAATATCGCTCAATATCGCTTGTAGCTCGTCGCTGTAGCTTGTCGCTCCTACATGACCCTTTTTTCCTGCGGATTTTGAGCGATTTTGCTCCTGATTGCATACAGCCCAATAGGAAAAAGTCGCGCAATATCGCACATATAAAATTGCGCGGAAAATCTCGCGATTTTCATGTCGCTCAGTGTGAATGGGGCCTAACTTGAAGCCAACCAAAAATCTACCAACGTGTTGGCCCTAAACCACCAACCCTGAGAACGGGTGACTCGGCCCACCAGGTACCACCTGTGACCCATTTATCAGAATGACCTTTTGGATGTTCTTGCAATTTCTAAATGAAGGATTGTTTGTGTGTTTTTGTTGTTTGTTGTGCACACAAATTGGTGTCCCGGCCTTTTTTTAATGCTCTTCATGCGCTAACAATGGGACCTGTTTTTGGCATCTTCTCAGATACTCGTTTTTACCTTTCGTTCTTCTAAAGATAAAGGGGGGGGGGACCGCCGTGAAAACAAAAACTGGAAGGGACTGACATTCTGCTTCCTCCAGGGAGAGATCTATTTTAGGATGAATTCATTAGGAATGGACGTTTTTTGGAGGGTGGAGGCACATGTTGGGGAATTGTTATCAGGAAATCTATTATCCAATGATGAATGCCAAGGAGACAAACAAGGAAATCATTCCAGCCATTCAGCAACCATTCCGTACTAAAAGACATGGCCGCCAAGTGTGGGTGGAGCACTGACGCTTATTAAGAATACAGTTTCCATGAAACGCCTTATAATATAATTGTCGGGTGTCAAGTATGTAAACATAAATATACGGAAGAAGAGGTGTTGTTTTTGATGCCCCCTTTGCATCTGGCCTGTCCATTGTGGTGCATATGGTGCACAAAGGCATTTATTTGCCCCGGCCGCCAGATTTCTTGTAGCAGTGATTAACAGCTGCCTGATCACTTCCACACGCTAACATGCCACCCCCTTGCAGGAACCCCCCCGGCCATGGGCTCACTCGTCCTCCATTAGAGGTGTCTGGATGGAAGGATGAACCTGGAAGCGCTCAGCTATGAGCACTTCTCTGTTCAGAGCTGTCAGAGCCCAGCTACTCTGGCTGAGGAAGAAGCTAATGGAGCACAACCTAATAGGCTCCTTATGTCTACTCAAAGAGATTCTGTCAGCTGCACCACACTATCACATAGGGGGCTTATCAAAAATGTTAAAATAAAATATATATATATATATATATATATATATATCTATATAGATAGATAGATATATAGATATTCCTTCCCCGCCCTCACGTACACACGTGTCTGGTGTGCACACGTATGAGAATGTCGATTGTGCCACACATATTGGGTATCACAACGCATGTCTGAGTGAGAGCAGTAGTTCTAGGGCCCTCATTCACTGTTAGCTGTAAGTTGATAAGCTGTAAAGCAGGGGAAGCAAACCTCCGGCACTCCAGCTGTGGTGAAACTACAAATCCCATGATGCATCTCTACGGGAGTCATGTCTGTGGGAATCTTACAATGGGGATTTGTAGTTCCACCACAGCTGGAGGGCTGGAGGTTTGCTACCCCTGCTGTAAAGGCTTTTAAAGCATTACCCGTGGACAATTTTGGTTACCGTAGTTTATCGCAATTTTGAGGCTTGGTATATTTGACATCTGTTTTGCTCGAAACAACCTCATCTTTTCTATTTTACCCCCAAAATTGGGTATTATATTGTGTATGTGTGCAATAAAATTATTCTTTTAGTTTTTTTTTTACTGAAAATATAGGTTACCTAGTTTTTTTTTTTTCTAGGGGGCTCCAAAAAAGCAGATTTACTCACCTGATCCTGGCTCCTGCGGTGGTCAGCGCTCACTCCTCACCCCCTCCACTCCGCCCGTGGAATTTGCTCATAAATTTGGGGACACCGCCTGCCTGCCTGACCTTCATTTATGATCCTTCTGTGCACTTTCTGTACCTGGCAAAGTATTTTATAAGTGGATGGTTGATAAACTTAGTCCCTTCACACCTCCAATGTTCCGTCTGTATCTTTTAGTATTTCACTGATTTGACTGGAAAGCTTTCAGGTTTTTGGTGCCACCACGAAACAAAATCTCTTATATATATCTATATAGATATATATATATATATATATATATATATATCTATATAGATAGATAGATATATAGATATTCCTTCCCCGCCCTCACGTACACACGTGTCTGGTGTGCACACGTATGAGAATGTCGATTGTGCCACACATATTGGGTATCACAACGCATGTCTGAGTGAGAGCAGTAGTTCTAGGGCCCTCATTCACTGTTAGCTGTAAGTTGATAAGCTGTAAAGCAGGGGAAGCAAACCTCCGGCACTCCAGCTGTGGTGAAACTACAAATCCCATGATGCATCTCTACGGGAGTCATGTCTGTGGGAATCTTACAATGGGGATTTGTAGTTCCACCACAGCTGGAGGGCTGGAGGTTTGCTACCCCTGCTGTAAAGGCTTTTAAAGCATTACCCGTGGACAATTTTGGTTACCGTAGTTTATCGCAATTTTGAGGCTTGGTATATTTGACATCTGTTTTGCTCGAAACAACCTCATCTTTTCTATTTTACCCCCAAAATTGGGTATTATATTGTGTATGTGTGCAATAAAATTATTCTTTTAGTTTTTTTTTTACTGAAAATATAGGTTACCTAGTTTTTTTTTTTTCTAGGGGGCTCCAAAAAAGCAGATTTACTCACCTGATCCTGGCTCCTGCGGTGGTCAGCGCTCACTCCTCACCCCCTCCACTCCGCCCGTGGAATTTGCTCATAAATTTGGGGACACCGCCTGCCTGCCTGACCTTCATTTATGATCCTTCTGTGCACTTTCTGTACCTGGCAAAGTATTTTATAAGTGGATGGTTGATAAACTTAGTCCCTTCACACCTCCAATGTTCCGTCTGTATCTTTTAGTATTTCACTGATTTGACTGGAAAGCTTTCAGGTTTTTGGTGCCACCACGAAACAAAATCTCACTGATTTGCCGCCCGTGCTTTCAGAATGAATAATGACACCGCCGCGTGTATGCGGATTGAAGCAACAAACGCCAACTTATTGATCAAGCGAAACTTTCTTTCTCGTTTATGTAAACTTCTGTCAGCAATCAGGCCGGGGAAGGGCCCTTGGGATGGCTCTGCGTGCATATTCGGGGGAATATAATGACACTCCAGCCTGTTTATTTTGTTTATGTAGCACTTTGCGGCTTGTCGGCGTGCTTTCTTGATGCACAATGTCCTGATTTTGTTCCCTAAAACGCTTTTTTATTTCTCCCTACAGACTGTTCTCTTTGTATCCGGAAGTTCCTGTCATACAAGACTCAGTGTCCCACCTGTTTTGTGGTACGTTCCAAACTTTATTTCGGTTTAAAAGTCTCGCTGTTATGGATTTTTGCAATGTTCTCCCTCCGAGGGAACATTTTAATGACGGTACACAGGAATTAAATGCATCATTCATGTTGTCCTTTCAGAATTGAGGTGATCCGCACATTTTTGTTACTTAAGTGCTATTGAATTACATAGTAACAGCGACGTCTACTGGTGTAAGATACATTGAGGGGAACTGATCAGGCAGATCAACAACAAAATGTGGTGCAAATTAGTCTATTTCTTATCTCTGAGTATATGGGACCGTTTTTGTTAGGGATGCACCGATACCGTTTTTTTCAGCATCGAGTACCGATATTTATTTTCCGGTACTCGCTGATACCGAGTACCGGTGCTGTGTGCCCCGATTATCAGGAAGTCGGGCAGAGGATCGTGACCCCTGATTGCCTACGAAGCCAGTGTTCTAGCGAAAGAACACCGGCTACAGTTGGCGAGGCTTCCTGACCAACCGGGAAGCCGGACGGCGAGTCATGAGGTGTCGTTTGGCTTCCTGATTTGGCTAGGAAACCAGGTTCACGTGTTGCTGTGTAGTCTGGCTTCCTCACCAATCAGGAAGCCAGGACGCGAGTCCTGACGTGCCGCCCGGCTTCCCGATTCTTTAGGAAGCCAGGCTGCCTAGCAACAAGGGAAGTCGGCTTCTTAGTCAATCAGGGAGGCGGGTCATAACTTCCTGATTGGAAAGGACGCCGGATCCATGCTCCCTCGGCACTGCCAGTCAGAGGGAGATCTCCTTCTGATCGGAAGTTCCGGTATTGGCGCTGATACTAGTATCGGTACATCGCTAGTTTTTTGTTTGTATTTGTAACCCCTGCATTTGAAATACTGAGCAGGAAACTTAAAGTGACACTTAAATCTTAAAAATGCATTTACGTCTCCTAACTATTAACAACAATGAAGGGAATTTATCAAAACGGGAGCAGACAAAATCTGGAGCAGTTGCCCATTGCAACCTATCAGCTTCTCTCTTCAGTTTGTTCAGTTAAGGTTTTAAAATGAAAGCGAGAAGCTGATTGCTTGCCATGCACAGCTGCTCCAGATTTTTTGTGGTCCAGTTTTGATAAATTCCCCTCAATGGATCTTATTTGTTTATCACTCGGCTGTAGATCCTCAAATCATCTCTGAATTGGTGCCGACACTGTCCTTCCTTCTGGAGGGGGGCTACGTCTGTTCCCCATGGTCCCTTGTGTGTTGTAAAGTAGTCGCCGCTTGCTCACTCCCGGGATTGACTAAAATCTCAATACAAATTAGTAAACTAAACGTGAGATTGTAGTCCATTCCGGGAGCCAGCTTGGAGCGGTGACTACTTTACAACACAGAGGGACCATGGGAAACAGACATAGCCCCCCTTCAGAAGGAAGGACAGTGTCGGCACCAATTCAGAGATGATTGGAGGATCTACAGCCGAGTGATACACAAATAATAATACATTGTTGTTCAGGTTCCTGAATAAGATTTAACTCCTGAGTTTAGTGTCACTTTAAGCTTTGAAAATAAGATAAGAACTGATTGGTTGCCACAGGCAACTACTCCACGTTCTGCCTGCTCTTGTTTTTGATTCCCCTTTAAATGGTAAATGTTACTTCAGGTTCTGTAATTGATGCCCAACTTGTCTTTTTTCTTTTCAAGCAATAATTGTAATAATTGAACATAAAGATTGTTCAGGTGATAAAATGGAACTGGGGCATATGTAAAAATATGATCCTGTGCCGCCAAAGAAGGGCACATAATGCATTATTTGTTTTCAGTCCCCCAAGAGTAATGATTGTATCGTGTGCTAAGTCCCTGGTGAGTGCGTTCCAGCAGAATTCGTTCAGATAGACCTCAGGCTTTCCTATGGAGCTGAAAGAGCGTCCTCGTAATTCCTGTCAGCGTTGTCAGTTATATCTGAAAGAATGAGAATAAAACGCGCTACCTACAAGATACGCTTAGAAGGGAATTTTTACAGCTTCCAGCTGGTATGAATTTCTGGTTTCCTATGAGTTTCATGTCCGCATACTATATATGCTCAATGTTTTTATAGGTAGTGGTAAAACAGAAAGGTTTCTTTAAAGGAATACTGTTTAATTGACCATGAAAACTATCACTGTGCAGGTGTGTGCTGCGTTGCAAACATCAAGGGCCCATTCAGAAGTCATTGCTGCCTAGTGACGTGTTTCCTGCACAAGCATTAATGTGTGGCACTTTGTGTGGTGTTTGTTGCAGTCACGGAGCCCATTGCGATCTCATTGAAAACATCTAGAAATGTTAGTAGAGCACAAGGAGTACTCCTGAAAAATAGCAGAGGACATCCTGTACCTGGAGCCTCATAGCTGTGTATCTGCAGCTTGAGATCATCTAAGGCACTACCGATGACTGCTAGACTCACACGATTTGGGAATCTCTCTACTGTGCTGCTCACTGTTCTCCTTACTGGAGAGAAAGCTGAACCTGAGGACCCACACTGCAAGGATCTCCCTGCCTCTGCTTTATCCATTCTGTGTATCTGTGGTTCCTCCAGCTCTCCTTCTGCTTCTTCTTGATTACCTCACCAGTCATGAGTGGGGCAAGACGGGGGAAGAGCCGTACTTCCACTACCTGTAGAAATGAATGGGTGGCTTTACAGCCTTCCTGCTTACTTCTACAATAAAGCCCAGAGCCTGACTATACATTTTAAAACAAGCTGATGGCTGGTTTTGCACATGTGAACTTGTTTAAGTAGGGATGCGCCGATACCGAGTATTTGGGTGAGTGCTTGTACTCGCTCAAATGCTCCTATACTTTCCCCAATACCGGAACTTCTGGTCAGAGGAGGATTTCCCCCGCTGGGCGTTGCTCTGTGTCCCAGTGGGGAGAAGAGAAACTGTCACAGGCGGCCGAGCGCTGCGGGAGGAGAGCGATGTGAGCGGCCGGTGTCTCTCCTCCCACACCGCTCAGCCTCCTATCACAAATTGGGAGAGCGGTGGGGGCGGAGACAGCCAGCGCTGTCACAGGAGGCTGAGCTCTCCTCCTGCACCACTCCCTTAGCCTCCTGTGACAGCTGTCAGGATGCAGAGCGGGTACAAGCAGTCACTGATCAGTGATCGCTGAGTGTTTGTAAATAATTGAGGACATAGTATGTTTATTATATCCTCAATTATGAATTAATGGGAAGTGATTTACATCCCCTCCTGTTCATTTATGATTGTGGTTATAGAGAAAAGAGAAGGTCAGCAGTCAACTTTCCTGTAGAATTTGGAAATTTTACGGAAATGTCTTTTAACGTTAAAGGAGAACTATGGGGTTAAGTCTTTTCCCCATTGTTCTCCTTAGGGTAACGGGAGGACCCAAACTAGCGTCCTCCCGTCACCCTAGGCTCAGTATACTGAGACGCCGCAGCTGAAGCCCCCTCCCCCGTCGGTTCAGTCAGTCAGCGCTGGTGGATCGGAGCGGGGAGAGGGGAATCCAGCCCCTCCCCTGTCAAGGCAGAGAGCCGTTACAGGATCGAGAGGTGAGCGAACGCCGGTATGTGTTCGCTCACCTCCCGATCTACTGAGCCGACCTGTGACAGTTACCTCCTGTGCAATCGCGCACAATTATGGTTTAATAAAAACTTACAGCCTGTCACCAAAAAAGGCACATGTAACTTTTTTCAGCGATTTCTGCGCCGATGTAACCCCATTGAAATCAATGGGGCCGCGCAGCAATTGCTGTGTGCATCCGTGCACGGTCCTGGGATGTGCGTCCCGGGATTGCCGAAGTCTGCACCAGCCCTGGTACTTTATTCATTTTCATTTATCACAGAAAGCTATTGAAATTGTTTAAAGTACAACATGCCTAAACAATTTAGGGTGAAATGCAAGGTCTGCTCATGTGGGATCCCCGAAATAAACACCCATGAGGCTGATGTCACATGGGCGATTTTGCTGCTGGCGGCATATCACCAGCAGAAGAATCGTCCTGTAGAGACTTCCATTTGCCTCTATGGAGACGATTTCTTGCTGGCACAGAACACCACCACATCTCTCATCCTGGAGATATCTCCATCTCCCGTCTAGTGAGGGAGCGACTCCATAGAAAGAGGTAAGGGGTAAGTTAGGGATCCTTTTGCTGACAATTTATCTCCAGCATCAGGATCACTCGTGTGATAATAACCCGAGAGGAAAGACTTGCGTTCCCTAGACTGCGGCTTCCGGCTGCTTTCTGAAGGATCTCGATCAATTAATATAAATAGCAGAAGTAATGTGCACATGGGAAGGACAGTTCACAGAGCAATGCAATGCCCCAAAACATCCCCATTGCACTTGCCAGCCTAATCAGCACGAATACAAAGTCTAGACTAACTGCAGCCAAAAATATTAAGCTAAAAATAAATCAAAGATGTTGTACAGTCGCAATATTCACCTGCAATCCAGAAATTTCCCCCTGCAGTACGTTTTTCTACCACTAGACTTCCTCCATCTGATGGCCAGCATCATTGAACCTACCTCCTCTGAGCCCATTTCGATCTGGGCTCTGGTTTTTACACTTACAGGTCTAGTCCCTCCCCTAGCCTGTGACTGGACAGTGAAAGGAGAAGCAGCACAGTCATGAGCTCATCTGATCACAGAGCTGCAATCATGTGTGTCCTTATATCTGCTTTCTTTAGTTCTAACCCGCTCAGTGAAAATCACCTCTTAATCTGTGCGATCATTTCCTCCTCCTCATTCATTCATGTGTTTTGGTATTTTTTCCCCCGGCTATATCTTAAACCTTGTCTCAAAGTATCACCCTAACCGTCCCCTCCACTCATCCCAAGACCTCCTGCTTTCCAGCTCCCTCGTCAACACCTCCCATACTCGCCTCCAGGACTTCTAGAGTCTCCCATCCTCTGGAACTCTTTACTCCAACCTGTCCGTCTATCTCCCACCTTGACTGCCTTTAGGCGATCCCTTAAGACTCATCTCTTCAGGGAAGCCGATCCCACCTCAACCTAGCCACTGAACCATCACGTTGTCAAACTATTCATCCCCACACCGCTACCTCCTCATGTATCACTTGTCCCTCCCTTTTAGATTGTAAGCCCTCAGGGGCAGGGCCCTCCTTGCCATCTTGTCTTGAATTGTATTGTGATTGTCATGTCTTCCTTATATTGTAAAGCGCTGCGCAATCTGTTGGCGCCATATAAATCCTGTATAATAATAATCATTTTTGGATATTCCCTGTGGCAGTGCCGGACGGATCCCTGCCATTGTGACAATGTCTCTGTTATTTCCCTGCTCTGGTGCTCATCATGCGTGTACTGTAGGACTGTTGAAGTGTCTGTGAGGAAGTCCCACTTTCTGAGCTTTCTGTCCTTTATTGCAGACGGTTGCTGAGCCCGACCTACGGAACAACCGGCGGCTGGACGACTTGGTGCAAGCTTTCCTCACCACTCGGTACGTTTCATGGCGGTTTTCCCTCTGTCTTTGTACTCAAATTCTTTCAATGAGTGTCATGTCCGAAGTTGTCTCCATTTTGCTTCTTTCATTCATTATTATAATTAGGGATGCACTGATACCGATACTAGTATCGTTATCGGTGCCGATACCGAGTATTTGGGTGAGTACTCGTACTTGCCCAAATGCTCCGATACCTAGCACGAGTACTTCCTGTATCAGGAAGCCGGGCAGCGCATCATTACACCCTGCCCGGTTTCCTTAATGGCCAGGAAACGGCTCCTTGCTCTCTCGTCACTTGTGATGAGAGAGCATGGAGCCGACTTCCCGGCCAATCAGGAAGCCGGGTAGCGTGCAATGACGCGCTGCACGGCTTCCCGATTGGTCAGGAAGCTAGCAAATCCTGGAGCCGGGCGCCGTGTAATGACGCAGCGCCCGGCATTCTGCTTTAGAAAAAATGTGACCTGTCCCTTTAAGAAAAAGTATCGGTAATTGGTATCTGCGAGTACTTGATCAAAAGTATCGGTACTCGTACTCGGTCTTTAAAAAGTGGTATCGGTGCATCCCTAATTATAATCAAAGGAATCCATAGACTCTCTATATATAAACTGAATAACATCGGCTGCACATCAGGGGGCGGGAAATAATCATTGACTTGTATTAGGAGAACATTTAGGGCCTATTCCCACCTTTTACCATTACACGGTGTTTAGCACACGCTATTGCACAAACTACCTAGCGTTGTGATACCGTGCGGTAGGTGCGTTGTGTTGCCAGTCATTTGAATGGCAGTCCAATGTACCTCCTAGCGGGGCGTGGTGAGGAAAAAGTAGCACATGCACTTTTTTCCCACCGTGCCGCAACGTACAGTATTGCATGGTGTTTTGCTACCGCGCTTTGCAGTGCACTTCAACACACGGCCCTCGGTCTATTGCAATGTCATTTAGTGCACACTAGGTGCATTGTGTAAGCGTTTGCGCTAATAGAGGAGAAATGAGTGCAACTGAATGAAGGGGGTGAATTTCCTCGAGCAAGATTTGGAAAACATAATGGAAAGAGGAAACATCTGATGGGGACATATTGTAATATGTGTGTGTATGTGTGTTTTGTGTGTGTGTTGATTGGCTTCCCAATACAGTAGTTGATTATGTGATTATGCCCGTGCAGCATGTGTAGTCTCAACACATGACAGGGTGACAACACAGGAGCGCAATTGGGAGACCAGGACAGTGTGTTGTCTCCCTATAACAGAAGGTGCTTGACCAATGATCTTCATGGCAGGATCACCAGGCAACTGACACTAAGCTCAGGGTTAAATCTTAAAAAATACATTCAGGAACCTTAACTATGAACAACAATGCATCTTATTTGTGTATCACTCGGCTGTAGATCCTCCAATCATCTCTGAATTGGTGCTGACACTGTCCTTCCTTCTGGAGGGGGGCTACGTCTGTTCCCCATGGTCCCTGTGTGTGTTGTAGAGTAGTCACCGCTCCAAGCTCGCTTTTACTACCGAAATCATTGGACTGAACGTCCAGCATTCTTGTGCAGAAATCTGTTTGGAAGGAACGATTGTTTTCTCAGGTTTAACTTGTTTATTTAAAAAAAAACAACCCCACACCAACTACTAAGATATCAGCTCAATCCCTTCCTGGCTCCTTGGCTTCCTCCTGGAGGGGGGCTACGTCTGTTCCCCATGGTCCCTGTGTGTGTTGTAAAGTAGTCACCGCCCCAAGCTTGCTCCTGGGATGGACTACAATATCATGTTTTTAGTTTACTCGTATTGAGATTGTAGTCCATCCCGGGAGCGAGCTTGGAGCGGTGACTACTTTACAACACAGAGGGCCCATGGGGAACAAACGTAACCCCCCTCCAGAAGGAAGGATAGTGTCAGCCCCAATTCAGAGATGATTGGAGGATCTACAGCCGAGTGACACACAAATAAGATACATTGTTGTTCAGAGTTCAGGAACTTGAATTTATTTTTAAGATTCAATTCTTGAGTTTAGTGTCACTTTATAGAAAGCGGCACATTTAAAAATGTAAAATGGCTTTTGAAATATTAACATTTTAATGTTTACTTCCGATTTTAGCGACTGGGTTTACATCTACTCTAAAGCAGGGCTGACCGAGGGACCACATCACAGTGACTCTGGTTCTGGCTGATTTGACTATTGGCTGCTTCCAGCTGCCGAAACTTCAGAGACAGAACTGTTTATAGTTTATATTTAGGATCCTAAAAGCTCCGTCGTTGGAAACTGTACAAGTCTTTGTTCAGACCGGAGATTTGCTGGCTGAATTTTTTTTTTTTTATGAAAAGTACAATCCAATCTTGTCTGGGATCATTTCTCCCCGTTGCCCCCGAGAGCGCGCGGCATGAACTTCTTCATACGGGTTTAATTCTAATCCGTTGTTGAGAAACATTTTCGCAGTTCTGTTTGAAAGAAAACAGCCCCTCCTCTGGGCACGCCAAATCCGTTTTATTTTGATTGCGTTTTATTTTCGAGGTTAAGCATCTGTACATTTACATCTCGAATTATGCAGATTGCAACATAATCTAATTTGCTTCCTCTCGGAAAAAACAAATGAAATCTTCCCGCACAATCTCTGTCGGGGTTGCTGCTTCACATTGATAGAGCTCTGCGCGGCGGTAAACTCGAGCTAGACGCCGCGGGGTGCTGATTGGATTTTAATTTTGTTTTTTTATATTTTGGTTGGTCGGTTTTTGCACCTTATTTTTTTTTTTTCCTCTCCCACCTGTCACGTGAAGATAACCTATAATTTATATTCCCGCTGCACTTGGATTCCCCGAACGTCTGCCATTCCACCTCTCGCGTGAAAGGGCCTTGTTTGAACAGCAGCTCGGTAAATGATTGCACTGTTACGGGCTACTGAAGTGTGGTTGAGGAGAAGAGAGTGGTTCTCCCTAGTCGCCCTCTCGTGCCTTTATTACTCTTTGAACAGCTTTTTGAAGTAGACCTGTGCTCAAGTGTTAACGTAGATTGTGACGGAGGTGAGGGTGGAACAGAACATACATAGAGATCGAGAGTGTTTGTTAGGACCTTTGGCCGAGGGGTTCTTTATTAAAGGAGAACGATGAGGGGGGGGGGGGGCTTTTCACTCCCCTCATAGTTCTAGCCGACCTGTGAACATGAGACTGTCACAGGTCGGCTCAGTAGATCGGTAGGTGAGCGAACACATACCGGCGTTCGCTCATCTCTCGATCCTGTCACGGCTCTCTGCCGTGACAGGGGAGGGGCTGGATTCCCCCCCTCCTCGCTCCGATTCGCCAGCGCTGACTGGCAGAACGGACGGGGGAGGGGGCGGGCACAGCTGGCTCTGCCTCTAGATAGCCAGAGCCAGCTGTCAGTCACGCATCTGGGCGGATCCCGGCACAATTGTCGGGATCGGCTTCAGCGTCTCAGTATACCGCGAGCTGTATACTGAGCCTAGGGTGACGGGAGGACGCTAGTTTGTGTCCTCCCGTTACCCTAAGGAGAACTATGGGGAAAAGCCTTAACCCCGTAGTTCTCCTTTAAACCGTGATGAGGTACAGTAAGGATAAAGGCCAGGTTCACAGGGCAGCAATCCGTACACAGCAAAGGGTATGCAGGAGCCCAGTATGTAGTGGGTGCGTAGTGGCAGGACCTACATGTGGGTACTGGGGCACAGGATGGTCTTCGGTGGCATCACACACCCTACCTTATTACACAGGCTACAAAAATCCATTTCAATACATTGTCCACTGCTGTCACCATCATCAAACCCACCTTGAGAAATCCCATGCAGCTATCGCTGTATTGTATGTAGACCGGAAGTGGTTTCAGTATTTTCCCGAGTTGCTAAGACAGAACAAGCTTGCAGCATTAGAGAGCAGTGACTGCCAGTCACCTCTCTCCGCATGATTTCCCGCCTGCACCTCTGTTTCTCCAGCGCTCATTGGAGGGGCAGACAGGGGATGGGGCGGGCACAGCTGGTTCTGACTCTAGAGAGGCAAAGCCAGCTGTCAATCAGGCAGCGGGGTGAATCCTAACATTGTTGGGACTTAGCCTGGCTGGAACGTGGCTCTGCGCTGTCAGCAGATAGCGGGCAGTAGCTTGCTATATGGTGTCTTTGGGTCAAAGGTGTATGTGAAGGACACAAGGGCTGCAGGAGTTTCAGAGCAGGGTTACCCGGAGACTTGGGGTAGCTGTGAGAGCAAGCTTGTCAGATGGGGGTGTCAGTTGCATATGGAATGTAGCCGATGCGTCTGGAGCTATGTTGGGATACTTTTGTCATCTGCCTGACTCCTCCACCTTCCCGATCACAGGCACAAAGACCCTAACAGACACTGAGACTGATAAGATAAGGGTCTACGTGCCCCTGTGCATTATGGGTTCACTACTTGGTTTTAAAGTTGTTTTTATCCGTTCCTGTTGTTTCTCAGTTGGGCGTGATTCATGTTTATTGATGAGGGAGGATTGTCCCTTATTGCCTATAAGCCCTCTAGAAACGGCCGGCGGGATGGATCCTGTATGTTTCCGGTAGGGAAACACGCATCTGCACGGACCTGCTCTTAAGGTAAGCGTAGGGGGGTGTATGGCCACGTACTCCCATAGAGGACGGGGGCTGCGTACTAATCACACGCAGTACCTGTCCTTCACGGGAGCTGCCTGATACGACCGTGCACGCAGCGCGGAGCTGTACGTGCCGGCCGATTCTAGTGTGAATGAGGGCTAACTGTTTGTCCTGTGTTGAAAATAAAGGCATTTGTTGTTTTTACCCCAAACTAGTGTTGTCTAGTGTTGTTCTGGGAACGAGGGTATATGCTGGCCGGGAAGGTACAAGCAGGGAATCAGTATTTGGCGGAGATTCCAGGCGGGGTATCAGGAGAGTCAGTCACAGTGGACATTAGTGAATGTACCCCTTTAACCCAAAAGAGGACTAAAGAAAAAATAAATTGGCTTTAGTTCTCTTTTAATGCAAAGGGGACCATCATCTATGGGGATCTCTCCTTCCTC